AAGAGCCGGGGGGGAATGCTGAGGCGAGAGCGGGGGGGGGAGGGACGCTGAGCCCGAGAACCGAGAGGAGGCTGACGGGACAGTAGCTCCGAGCGTGGACCAAGGAGGCACAGGGGCACTTGGGGAACGCTTCTGACCCTTTAGGCTGGATGTTGCCCAGTTCCATGCACATGGCATGAAAATGGACAGGTCCCCTAGGCTCTTGGACCTCTGCGGAACTGACCTCACCCCAGAGCTGGCTGCTGCCCAGCCACTGTTTGGCCCTCCTCCTTCTGGTAAGGGCTTTTAGGGGGTGGGGCCTCCTGCTCCCTGACCCTGAACCCCCATGACTCCTCCACCCCAGGGTTCCTCTAGCTCTGCCTGGAACATGTGTCACCTGTCACGTGAACAGGTGACTAACAACAGTAGGGGGACAAGCAGTGTCCAGTCACTGTCCCAGCTCCTCTGCCACTGGTTCAGGGTCAATGCATTTCCTCATAGCCTGTCTGCCTCTCCCTCATCGCCTGCCATCGTCATGTGTCCCACTGGTCCCTGCTGTGTCCCTGCCTTCCTTTGGCGCCATCCATCCTACTTCCTCTAGAAAGTTCTGTCAGCAATCCACTGAGCAGAAGGCCAATTCCTTCACACAATCTCCAGTCCTGCCTCCTGCCGCAGCCTCTTTAAGAGCTCCTCCAGCTGTTCGCGCTGACTGACCTCCACAAATCCCTTCAGTCCAATGGAAGAGACCTCCAAGGTCACTGCCAGAGCCTCTGCTTTGTGGGCATGAACTTTCCTCAACGGATCTGTAGCTTTTCCTGCTCTGGGGACTTGAGGAGGGGGAGCTCACAGACGACTCGCCTGGAACTCCTGGCAGATAGCAGCTAGATCAGGGCCCCCTGAGTGAACCTGCTGCTCACTGTAAGCCCGCCGCGTCCCCCTCAATGTGTGTTGGGACAGGTGCTACCACTCAAAATGTCACTGTCCCCCAGGCAGCATGAAGGGAGCAGCCATCCCTGAAGTGGTCTGTGTGCTCTGCAGGCCCAGCAGGGTTTCCAGCCTGAGAGCTCCAGAAGGCCAGAGAGTGCAGGGCCCGCAGCATCTCGGGATGCTTTCTTTCATCTTTTATACCTTGACTGGCTTCATTGAGTTGGAAGCCTTTACGGTGGGGCTCAGTCCTTCTGCCCCAACCGGCCAGCATGGTGGGATGGAGAGCCAGGGGCCTGGGTTGGACTCTTGCCCACCCTGCATCGTTGTTTGCTGAGCTGCTCGGGTGAGCCCCGATGGGAGGGTGTCCTCTTCACACCACACCTGTTCCCCAGGGACCTTTTACAGGGA